TTTAGTCCAACGAAAAACAGAGGAAGTGGTTTTTTTGTAACACGGCCTAAATTAATTAAATCTTTTTTGATTTCATCAATAGGTATTGATGGATGTAGGCCCCTCAACACTACATTAAAGCTTCTATCTTGCTTTAGTTTGTAAGTATGAAATTCCGTCTGCTTTTCTGCAAGAGCTTTGGTAACTTTTGAGTAGATATCCGCTGTGTTGGGCTGTATTTTGACTTCATTATTACCTAAAATTTTGAGTACAAACTCATTTGGAGCCACATCATTTAGCAGTGCCCGCAATGGTTGAAGGTTACCAACACCCGCTACAAATATTGGTGGTGGTTTAGGAATTTTACTTTCTTTAATTAATTCCGCATGTTCTGATGTTTCTTCCTGATTATCAGCGTCAGGGTTGTCTAGAACCTCAAAACGGTTAGGTGTTGCAAGCCAGTAGCTGTCAAGCTTTTTTTGTTTATTTTTTCGCTGTGCATTTACAGGACTAGAACGCCCACGTTTACCGTTTTGGGGTGAATTACTGTTACTCGCACCTTATGTACTGCGTTTATAATGGTAGCACTAGTACTGGTTTTCTTTTTAACAGAAATTGGTATATTTTTTTCAGCTTTAAGCTTTTCATTTTCTCTTAGTAGAGATTCGCAACCTTTTTCTAATGACTTGATCTTTTCTGTAAGATGTTTTATGCTGTCTTCAAGCTCATTAATCTTACGGGACTGCATCGAGTTCGTAGGTTGATCATTTCCTAGCGATTGTGATGAGTTATTATTTAGTTTAATTTTATTGGCTGTGGCAATTTCACTAGCTATTTTTGCTATATTTGCTTCGGACATTGTTTTGTTTAGATGTTTGGCTTTTGGATGGTTATTTATTTTAATGTCATCTGAAGTAAGCATTACATAGCTGTTTAGGCCATTTTCACTGATTTGAGAGTGCCGCCGTGTAGCACTATTACTCATACACTTATTTTACAATAAAATTACAGTATGTTTTTATGATTATTTTTAATTATTTATGTTTTAAATTTTTAAATAATAGAATGAAAAAAGAAATATGAAGATTAAACAGTATCAGATGTAAGGTACTTAAAGAAACTTGAATTCAAAAATATAAACCATTTTGCAGATGAAAATAATGAAAAAGCACTTGAACATAAAAATAAAAAGTTTAATTAACATACTGTAAAATATTTAAATATAATAGCAGCAAACAAATTAGTTGTCGAATTTAACTTAAAATCATTATCAGAGATAAAATAATCTGAGGAAGTTATTCAAAATAGACAACAAAAAAACTACAAAACTAGCGCTGGCAGAAAGTGATAAAATATTTTTTTTTTTTTTTTTTTTTTTTTTTTTTTTTGTTTTGTGCGGCAAGGAGGAGTGGAATGCCTACGCACTGACCACAATCCGGCGGCCCGGAAAGTGAGTGTCCGACTTGCACGGACTAAACCAACTCCCCCTCATTCCTAGAGACCTTGTCCTACCCCGGGACTACGTTAGTATTACTTCAAGGTAGGGTCTCTATTAGTCATCTAAGACTTCCATCGGTGTGACCTGCGTCCAGGCCCCGCATCTGCTGCAGGTGATTAACCTTATCCTTCGTCTTTGTGTGATTCATCTGTTTTACTCCAGTTGTCTTTTGTCAAGGTCTACTTTTTTCAATCTCAGGATCTTTTCAGCAAACATTTTAACGCGATCCCAGTTTGTTATGTTTCCGATCATTTTTCCCGTTACCGTCCTGGGAGTGAAGGTACCAACTTGCATTGCAAGTGCTTCTCGTTCGGGCAACCACTTATTGCACTCAAAGAATGTGTGTTCTGCGGTATCATCCTCCGCTCCGCAATATATGCAATTTGGTGACTCTACTTTGCGCATGCGATAGAGATAGCTGTTAAAGTATCCATGTCCCGACAGAAACTGAGTAAGGTAGTAGTTAACCTCGCCAAAGTCTCTTGCTAGCCAGGTTTTTAGATCTGGGATAAGCCTTGCAGTCCATCGTCCACGGTTATCTGAGTCCCAGCGTTGCTGCCATACTGCAATGGTTCTGCGTCTTACCAACTGCTTGTCGGTGTTGTTGTTTCCCATTCGTTTTGCCTGCCAACATGTTTTTCGCTCTTGAGCCTGTAGGTCAATAGGAATATTTCCAGTAATCACGAGAACCGCTGCTTCTGAAACGGTGCGATACGCTGAACATATCCTTAGAGCTGCTGTTCGCTGCACTGACGCTAACGCTCTTCTTCGGTATTTTGCTTGTAGTGCGTCTGCCCATATTTCGCTTCCGTATAGAAGAATGGAATTTACCGTAGCCATGAGGAGCTGTCTTTTACTCTGTGTGGGTCCCCTTATGTTTGCCATAAGTCTGCTCAATGCTGCTGTAGCTTTGCCCGCTTTAGATGCCGCTTCCTCAATCTGAGCCCAGAATGTTAGTCTGGAGTCCAGTCGAAGGCCTAAATATTTGACTGTTTTTTGCGACATTAAAGTTTTGTCGCATACTCGCATTTCGACTTCTAGCTGTATATGCTTTCTTGTGAGAAAGATCAACTCTGTTTTCTCCGCGGCGAGTTTGAGTCCGTGATCCTCTAACCATTCCTGTGTTCGTATCATTACCATGGTTAGCTTTCGTTGCGCTTCTTCTATATTTCTTGCCTTTATCACTGCTGCAACATCATCTGCAAATGCCACCAGATGTGTATCATCCGGCATTTCCAGCTCTAAGATACCATTGTAATTATCATTCCACAGCTCAGGTCCGAGAACTGATCCTTGCGCTGCTCCTGATGTGATTTGTTTTTCTTTTGGTCCGTCGTGGGTGTCGTAGACTAGCACGCGATTTTTCAAATAACTAGCTATTATATCCATCAGGTAGCGTGGTACTCTAAACTTGTTTTCCAGTGTATTGAGAATATCAGCCCATCTTACACTATTGAACGCGTTTCGTACGTCAAGTGTTGCAAGCAAGACAATGTTTCTCGAATAGTGGTTACCAGTCTGTGCAGTCTTTACAGCCGTAACTATATCTTCTATTGCACCTAGCGTGCAGCGTCCTGTCCTGAAACCGTGCTGTCTCGGTGACAAGCCACCTGCTAATTCGATTGCTGTTGTAAGTCGAGGCTTGATCAGTCTTTCAAGGAGTTTTCCAGCGGTGTCGAGCATGCAGAGTGGTCGGTATGCTTCAGCACGTTCTGGGTCGCCTTTACCCTTACTAATTAAAGTTAGTTTCTGTTTCTTCCAAATTTCCGGAAAGTTGCCTTCCATTAAACAAGCATTGTACATTTCTAGTAGTACATGTGGTCGTTCATTTGCGATCACTTTTAGTATCTCAGCCGGTATTCCATCTGGCCCCGGAGCTTTATTATTTTTTAGCGCGCTAGCAGCTGCAAAAAGCTCTTGTAGAGTAAATAGTGGCGGCATTTCTCTCAGGAGATCATCTGATCTACTTGGGAGCACCTCATGTGTCGGGAATAATGTGTCAACTATTTCCTTCATTTTTTCGCTTCCTAGTGATGGGGTGGGTTGTCTGGCACCCAGCTTTTTAGTTACAATCTTGTATCCGGTGCCCCATGGATTGTTGTTTATATCTTCTCTTAGTTCTTCCCACTTCGCCTTTTTGCTTTGTTTTATGGCTTCTTTCAAATTTTTCTTAGCTATTTTAAACTCCACCTCCTCTATTTCAGCAGTACTTCTTCTCCGGGCTCTGGTCAGCTTTCGCCTGCACCTCAAACAGATGGTCCTCATTTCCGCGATTTGCTCGGTCCACCAGTATGCGGCTTTCTTTCGGGTTGATTTTCCCACTTTTGGCATGGAAACATTACAAGCTTGTAGAATGCTATTCATGGTGTATACTGTTAGTGTGGTCGAGTTTAGTAAGGGATCTCTATCTGCAACCCTGCTGTCTATAGCAGCAAGTAGAGATGGTACATCTAAATAGTCCACCTTCCATTTCCGCGTACCGCTAGGTTGGTAGTCTGTTGCAGCGCTATCCCGCAGTGTAATCTTGAATTCAATATATTGGTGATCGCTGCCGGTATAATCCTCCAGCACTTTCCAGTCTCTGAGTGCCCCTGAAAACATATCCGACACAAGTGTTATATCTGGAGTTGTGGCTTCACATCCGGGTCTTCTGAATGTTGTAGCGAAACTTAAGTTTGCTACTATAAACCCCAATCTAGACACCAAGTGTTACATTGTAACACTTCAATGTGAATTAACAAAATTTGTAGAAGCAATCCCCTTATAAACAAAAGACGCCGTCAATGTTACGAAAGCAATTGTAGAAAACTTCATACTTACGATAGTGTACTATTTATTTTCGTTCAATGAATATTATCGGTAAAATGGTAAAAAGTGAAACAAGTATCGTGATTTCAATTGTTAGTACACTTTTCAAAAGCTCACAGGTAGAATTAATTTTTATTTATAATGCTGAGGCCATCCTTATGCAGGTATTTTATAACCATAAATGAATATCCTAATGTAATGATGACAAAATTAACAGCGAAAAATACGCTGTTAATTTTTCATAAAAAAAAAACAAATAGTTTTGCTATCGCTTAAATTGTCTTGCAAATTAAGTTATATACAACTTTATTTTAGTTATTTTGGTATTAAATTTTATATTAATACTTACAATATTAATATGTACTATTAATAAGTAATAGTAATTAATACAATTGGTCATTATTTATATTCAGTTAACCTTACTATTATCAAATATCATTATTAATAATATGTAATGATCGTTATGTGACTATTTGATAAAAGCGGTGGACAAACCTATTCATTACTCAATGATAGGAGTACCTTATAAATTGAATAATTTTTTATAGAAACGTCGCTTAAAGTTTTAAATTTATAAAAAAATACTTTTATCGGCATTAACACAAACTTCGTAACATATCCAATTAACTAATATTTTAAAGATATTTAACATATATAAACCAACAATATATAATTGATAACTTCTTTAATGACGCTTTATTTTTATTTTATCTAGGTTAGTAATGCTCAGCACTTACAAAAACCACCTACTGCATCCTCAACACTTGTTGTTACATCAAGTCCGCAAAGTGATGAAATGGTTTGGAAAGTAAAACGTCGTCAAGACGGTACAAGATATATAGTCCGCCGTCCCGCTCGTAGACATTTCTTGCACGATCGACCGTCAAAAAATAATACCGAAATTATAAAAACAGATTTTACAACAACTGAAGACGATACTATATCAGAAGTAAAAACTGGTCGCTATTGGTCTCGAGAAGACAGGAAAAAACATGTTGAGCAAGCACGAGAACGTCGTCAACAACATCGTAATTTAATACGAACACCAACTTCTGCTACTTTATTATCAACCATACGTATTAACGATAAAAACAATATTAAATTCCATCATACTCAATCTGTAGGTAACGCACATAATTCTAAACTTATACTAGGACAATCCAATAAATCAATTCATTGTCAAAACGCTAATAAATCGAATGAAAATGATCAGTCGCAAAGCAATTGTATTCAATCAGAATTAGACCCGAAACAAACGTCTTTGTTCACGAAAATATCTAACACAAATAATGTAAATATATATAAAAAAAAGAGTTTCAAAAAACTTTCTTGTCCACCAATATCTACATCTAGTTTATACATATATAGTTCTGTTTCTGAGACCGCTTGTGCAAATGCTGTGAATACAATACAAGCATCCGTAGAGATTGTTCCTGTTGCTCCAACAGTTTGTATTCCTAACCTAATTTCAAGCTCCCAAATAGGAAATGGACCAAATTCCAAGGGAAGTAGCCAACTGTCTCAAACAACGCCTTAAGGAGATTTCAAATATTGTTAACTTGACATATTTAAATTCAATGTTTACTTCTAATGAAGTTTTTTATATTTTGTTGAAGTTCTATCAGTAAATTGTTAAAAAAAATAATTTCTTAATAACATTTTTAATATCATTTATTGTGAAGATTTTGTATAAATTTAGGGTTAAAAACTATAAGCAAGGGCCATAACAATTATTATTTGATACATTAATTAATTATCATTCTCTCTTATCATTCGGCTTTTAAAATAAAACGCAAAACAAAATTATTTAATTTGCTTTATATTATATATATTTATATATATGTCTTAACAATGTAAAACTAAAAAATGATTACTATTTTTCAAAAAAAAATAAAACTCCTTGTGTGTAATTTCTTTTTGAAACACATAGTAACTAGCAAGAAGGGCTATTTATTATTAAACAAAAATGAAACGCTTTTCTGTGTGTTGTAGTTGTATTTGTGTGTTCATACAAAATGTATAAAAAAAGTTGGTGTACGTAAATGGTTAGGTTTGTTTTTGTATTAAATATGTATTGTAATCAGTGAACGAAAATAAACAGTACAGTATCGTAGTGTACAGTATCGAGTCATTCAACCGCAATAAAATATTAAATATATGTAATTCATCCCCTAATATTAAATTTGCATCAATAAATGCATACGCAATATCTTTATCAATAATACACAAACAAAATACATGCAATACAAATGCAAACAAAATTTTTTCTTTTTCTCATGCAAACGGAGCAACAACAATGCACATTAAAAACGCTTCCAAATCGTTTAGTTTGGCAAACGTTAAAAAACCACTACCTTAGGAAAATGATCACTAAAAAGACCACACTACCTTCGGCAAAAGATAACTAAAATGAGCACTACCTTCGTGAAAAGATCGTTATAATGAGCACTACATTCGTGAAAAGTACACAAACTCTAAAAATTGTTGGATTTTTTCGGACTTTTTTTAATGTACTGTTCGTTTAGTGTTTTTTAACAAAGATGACAGTACACTATGTTTTGTACTTTAGTGTTTGTTTTCGCTCACTGATTGTAATTGCTATTTTATATTTGAGCAAAAAATTATACACACGATCCGATGATTTCGACAAGTTTTTTAACTTCACTTTATTTAATATAATAATGAATAAAAGGAAAACAGAAAAAATGACAGTTCTCTGACTTAAGGCCAGAGTTACCAGGCAAATAATATTTATTATAAAAAGAGTACTTTACATAACAACAATTGCAAATCTGTTATTGTATACTTATTAGTAATATATAAATTGTATATAATTTATAAATTTACATATTTTAAATTAGTTTTTTGAATTGTGTTTTTATAAAATAATAATTATTTATATGCTTTCAATTCATATGTTATACAGGGTGAAGCGCTTGAAGTGTTAAAAAGTTATTTTTGGGTTTCATATCATATTTAAATAATAATTATTTGTGCGTTTTAAACTAAAAACAAAGTGTGAGTTATTTATACGTGAAAAAGCAAAAAGCAAGAAACCATAATTATTTTTAAAGAACATAATATAAAGCAAATTTAATTGTTATTCTTTGAGTTTTATTTTAAAAGCCGTATATATATGTATAAAACATTTATAATATTAATGATGAGAGTTGTAAGTATGATAACTACATATTTACATAAGAAATTAGACAACTTTTTGCTGTTGCATTTTTTCGTGAAAATTTAAGAAATAATTATTTTGGTCCCCGACTATATGTTATTTATTACAAATTATTTGAATTTTAAGTTGCAGTTCCTGTTTGTTTATCTTGTTAAAGTAAAACTAATCTAGTATAACAATTTATTATTAAAATATTATATACAAGTGGCCATTTGAAGTATATTTAGATTTTTGTTTTTCTAATCAAGTAATATACAAATATAAATCTTCAAATTGCTTTTAACGGTATATTTTTAATTCGCATTAATATATAATTGCTGCGAAGAGTTTATTAGTTTAGTCTAGATAAAACTAAATACATAAAATGTAAATATGTAGTAGATTATTTTCACAAATTCATGTATTTAATTTTTTTAAAGTACCTCACTGAAACTAAATTCAACTTTCTCGAATTTCATCGGTAAAGTTGTGTAATAATTATGTAATAAATAAAGTATTATTATAAACAAAATATTATGTTCTTATTTATTAGTATTTATTATTCTGTATTACTGTTTTAAAACTTATCACTAAAAACGGTGTCGAAAAGTACTGAACTACAACAATAACAAAAAATTCATTTATATTATTTTAATTAATTGAATTTTTGGCTGGCCATACAGCTGTTCCGAGTATTGTAAAAAACACATAATCAGTGGTCTTGGAATTATTTGTTATACGACATAAAGTCGTACTAAAGAATCAAGCACACAAAGAAACGCAAATGAAATACTCACTTTATTTTGCTGATGAATTTATAATAAATCCACCCAACCTCGTATAAAAATGTCCGATCAAGTCACATCTCATGCGATATTCAATTCAAACTCATTTTGTTTAGTAGTATGGGAAAAACATCGAAAGTCACAGTGTGAAACTTGAACCCACGAAAACCACCGCTTAGAAATGAATACAGAAGATTATATCTCTCAGGGGATAATACCTAGTGGACTAGGTTCATCTTAGTCAGAAAGCATTGGCGTGAATTAGGGGGATGGGTGATACTGCAAATAAGGGGCAAATAAGCTGCTTATAGCAGAGCTTTGCAGTTAAGCTAGTTATGTTGTGGAAGTGCTTTTTTGAGTTGAGTGTGCCTGAACTGGGCGTTACGGATGGTATAGTTAACGTGAGGGATAAAGATGTGTTGTGAGGAGAATACAATGTTATTTCAATGTTATACAATGATATTTCAGATACGGAACAAACTGAACCGGAGAATTGTTGAGCCTGTGCTCAATGTCAGAGGTGCCAAAGCCTCTGGGGCGATCTCGCTGCTGGCCACGAAGGGCTGTGGTAGAGATCTTGAAAAGGTTGAGCTTAATATTTCACCTGGTATAGTAATCAAAAAGACACTCAAGGAGCCTGCGAGAGAGGAATATCTATTAGAAACATGTTAAAGAGGAAGGGGCCTAGAACTGAGACCTGGTGGAAGCCGGCGTCGATGGGGAAAGCACGGGTCGAAGAGGAACCGACTCTATATTGAAAGGTTCTGTTGAACAGAAATTTGTGGACCAAAATGCTCTGCATTGCGGAAAAGCCCAGCTGATGGAGCTTAAGAATTCAGTCTTTAAACCAGACAGTATCGACGGCTTTTTCCATGTCAAGTCTTAATGCCACAGTGGGCTGCTAATTGAAAAAGCTTACGCATATCTTATTCAAACTCATTGCAACTCACAATTGCTTTTATAACAGCTGAATGTCCATATTCATTTAATATACGGCAAAAATAATAAACTTAACAGCGATTTTAGAAGATTGTGTGCACCAATAAATTATTTTTTTAATATTTGTAAGAACCATATAAACATGTTTGAAAAGACTTAAAGAAAATAAAAGTATTAGAAATATAACATAAAACGTAAAGGTATTATATACAAAAATTATAGAAGTCACCAAATTCACTGATAACTGTTGACACTAATGGAATTTCCAACAAACTTCGCACCGATCTAGCTGTCAAGTCAATAATGACAGAAAAATCAAAATTAATTCATTAAACAGTTCATTATCTTGTTTACAAGCGTACGAAGGTATTTCGATTTTTGTGTTGTAGAAAAGAAGTTTTGTGATGGAGTTGGAAAAATACAAGTGGCTATTGTTCGAGTCCTAAGATTATGCTGTTGTGTTGAGATTACAGTACAAGAGCAGTATCCGCATTTTATCACCAAAAATTTATACACAAGTATTCATTTTTATTGGAGCACAAATTAAGTAGACATAAAGATTTCACAAGGTGTGAAGGAATTTCCAAATTTGATTGCACATTTTGAGTGTCAGCACATTCTACGATTATGTTGTGGGATCGTTGCTTTCAACAGTAGTTCACTGCTACAGTCTCGTAACATGATACTTAACTGCAAGGCCAATTTTAATTAATTATTTGTTGCTGGCCAAACCGGTTTTAACACACTCTATAGGGCATGCACCCACAACATCCCTTCCCCCTTCCGAAGGAGCGTTGACGCTCTTCAAAGAAACTTTGTATTATAAATTAGCGACATAACAGTTGGCGGTGAAGGCTGACAGTAATAATAATAGTTTACTAATGATTACAAATTTTTTGTTTTTCTTTTTTTTTGTTTTGTTCTTTTAAAAAATTTTTCCTTTAAAACTCGTTACAATATCATAGAATAAGAATTACAAATATTATTATCTTTCTTTCTCAAAATAAAAGCTATCTTATTGCCTTTTAGTTAAGTTTTTTTTTTTTATAATTATAATTTTTCGAAGGAATAAAAACAACAAGGTATATCATAATTTTTGTTTTACAATAAGTCTTAAACTTATACGAATTAAAAATGTTTCAAAAATATGTGTTTTTTAACATACAGTATAAGTACTCATTCTTATTAAATTCCCCTATATTGTTTTTCTACAAAAATTTCAACTGTTCACAATCGAAAACATAGTTTCATACATTTTTATTTATTTAATATAATTATTTCTTTTCGTTTTAATTGAAGCAAAAAAAAATTTTCCTTTTACTAATTACAAAATCTTATATTATATATATTTTGTCTTGTTAATATTAATATTCACTATTCTTGTATTAAATGTGTATAAACGTATACATTAAAAGTTTTAAAAAACTTTTACGAAATATTTTAAAATAAATGTATAAGTCGTTTCATATTATTTAAAAGTATTAAATAAATATTGTACATTATTGCTTGAAACTGTTTTAATATGTTATATTGATATATGTACTCAAAAATATTTTTTTATCTTTAAATATAATAATTATTTTAATGTTATAACTAATGTTTTTCATAAACAAATATTTTAATTAGTAGGCGGATACATTACGTAGTAAATTATATAATTAACATTATTATTATTTTTTTATATTCTTATTTGTAATAGAACTGTTTTTTCAGGACGTAATTCATAACTTTATATTAATACCAATATGCACAAAATAATTTTATAGGTTTACCCAGAATACCCACTAGGCATAAAACAATTTCTTTTTTTTTTTTAAATAGACTTAAAATATGTTTGAATATATTTTTTATTTAAATATTTTTATTTAAAATAGTTTTGTAAAATTTTATTTTTCTTACATTTTGTTTATAATATATGATCTTAATAGCATGTTTCCATATTAAATATTTTTATTTTACAAGTCTTAAAAAATTGCACATATTCTCATTATGTTTACTAAATTTATTTTTTTTTTTCAAAACATATCTCCAAATTGAATGTTTTTATTTTAAATAGTCTTTTAAAATTTTTTTTTTGGTTTATTTAAATTGTGTTCTTACATTTTGTATATATGATCCTCACCCATTAAGCACCAGGCAAGTTCAAACTTGGAATTTTATTGTGAAATTTTCAGGAAAGTCTTATTTTGTGAACACATGTTATAACAAATATATTAGTTTTTATGGACAGATGAAAACTTTTCGAAATATATATTTTTATATTATTAAGATATCAAACTAACATAAGTAACTAAAATAAAAAACAATGAATTAAATACTTTTATATATTTTTAAATAATTTTCAAAGTTAGCCGAGTGGTGTACCACTCGAAGGTACGAAATGGGTTAAGAGCATACTTCCCTATTAAATATTTTTATTTCACAATAGTCTTAAAAAATTGTATATATTGTAATAGTCTTTATTTTTATTTAAAAAAAAATCACCTTATAAATTCGCCTTAAAAATTCGCATTTTTAGTACATTATTAAACATATGTACTTTAAATTTCTATATCTTTTATACTGTAATCGTACGCAAACATTACCCGAATTCGCGACTCCGAGTAATATTCCACCGCGGCTCCAGTTAAGAGTTTATTATATTTCTTAAATTATTTCATTCTTATCTTAATTAATTTATTATTAATTTCTTGTTCTGTGTTTGTGATGTAGGCCTGTGAGGGAATAAAATATTTAATCCAATAAGAATGAAGTAAATGTTACAGACATTACCTCGAACTTCCTATGATAACATTAGAATAAGTATATTTGCTGCTGGTGGGCCGTTACTTGTTTTACTAGTAGAACTGATGGTTGGTAACAGCAATTGTAAAGCGTCCTTGTAAGGGATAATTAATCAAATGAATTATTTTATTTCGCATTAATTTTCATGCGATTACAAAGAAAAAAAAAATAATAGATTTTATATTTAAATATTAATTTTTTTTATACTGATAAGAGTAGGAAAGGTACATTGACTACATTTGTATTTAAAAAGACTTCTTGTCACTTTTCTAATTCACATTGATTTTTCAATGATATTGACACTGGGCGGAAGCAAAGGCAAACTATGTTTTTAGAACTAAGGTCAAGACACCAGGAGGCGAAAAGAAGTATATATTAGAAAAATATTAAGTGTATTAGAGAAAATAGTCCAGATAGATAAGGTATTTAGTAGCTCAGTCGGTAGAGCATGAGACTCTAACATAGGGCGTGGATCGAAGCCACACATTGGGCACAGAAATATAAGTAATTCCAACTAAGAAAAAAAAAAAAAAGAGAGAGCCTACATGTAAATTCTTACGAGTGTGTTCCATGTTGCAGGCAACATCGACACTATCGATCCTGTTATGTAGGCCTGTGAGGGAATATAATATTTAATCCAATAAGAATGAAGTAAATGTTACAGACATTACCTCGAACTTCCCGCGATGTCCATAAAGAATCAGCAAATGTCTCTGCCTGTGGTGTTGTTTTTTTTTTTTTGGTTAGGTGGCCGAGCAAGTCACCATTCGACCTCGCACCTGTTCATCTCATAATGTTTTTTTTGTTTGTAAACATTTTTCCTTTTTTATATATAAATATATAAATATTGCACTGATATCACTTATTTTTTTTCTTTACAAATTATTCATGTGCATTGCTCGCACAGACAAAATAATATATATGAAAATCGTGTAAAAGCTTTTGTTTCGTTTTGTTTTGATCGATATAATTGAGGCGAATTAGGTCGAAAGCACCAGTAAAGTTTGACTTAGATATAAAAATATGGTATTGCCAAGTACAAATAATACACTGATACATTTAAGACAAATTTTAACTTTATTGGAAGGAAAAAATAAAGTAAGCTTTCTTAGAGGTCATCACCCTCCAACAAATAAATAAACACAAAACAAAACCAGCAAAGATGGTTCAGTTAGACAAATTGACTATAAAAGAGCCAACGGAGGTTTGATTCGGTCTCTTGTATTTTGGTGTTTTCTGAGAACAGCAAGTGGGAAGTATCAGTTCACGTTCGTTATTAAAAGTCGACAAAAGAAAAATTTTTTAAACTTAATTTATGAAAAGTGAACAAAGTTTCCAAATTAATTAAAAATTGTTTTTTTAAACTTGACTAAAGTGAATAAAAAAATCCAAAAATTAATTAAAAAAAAATTTTTTTTTGATTAAATGTTGATTAAATTGAACAAAGATTCAAAGTTAATGATAAATTTGATTCAACGTTGATAAAATTGAATAAAAATGCAAAATTGATTATAATTTGTATTAAATTTTATAAAAAGTGCATAAAAACACAAAATTTTAACAAGAATTTGTTTTATTATTAAATTTTATAAAAAGTGCATTAAAACGCAAAAATTTTAACAAGAATTTGTTTTATTATTAAATTTTATGAAAAGTGCATAAAAACGCAAAATTTTAACAAGAATTTGTTTTATTATTAAATTTTATAAAAAGTGCATAAAAACGCAAAATTCTAACAAGAATTTGTTTTATTATTAAATTTTATAAAAAGTGCATAAAAACGAAAAAATTTTAACAAGAATTTGTTTTATTATTAAATTTTATTAAAAGTACATAAAAACGCGAACGAGGTGACTTTGATCCGTGGCAGATTGGCAGTTAATTCCAAATTTGCTGCTGTTTTGCTAACGGGATCTTGTCACTTGGTACGTTTTCTAAAGCAGAGTTTGATACTGAATCAATCAACTCTCTGATAGTTTCACAATAGTAGCTACTATGAAACTTCTACCGATAGACGATAGACTTTTATCTACTGAGTCGATTAGTAAGCAAATTTGGTATTATGAAAGTTGTGTAATAAAAAGGTTCATTACCATGTAATAAAAAGGTTCATACTTCACATAACTTCTTTTTGATTAAAACACAATTTCTTTTATATGATTTATTTTATTTATTTATCATTTTTGAGTTCCTTTATGAGACTCTATTGAGACTCACTGTAAATCAACTTAAGACTTTCAAAATCAAACTTATAACTCGAAGATCAACTTAAAAAACTAAACTTTACTTTTTGCTATATCGAACCAAGAAGGTTCGGTTTCTTATCTATTAACATAATTCTTATATACTTAAATTCTATTGGTTATTGTTACGATATAAAATCAATTATCGTAACGAGATGGCATCACTAAGGTGATCAGCTGTTTTGGAGCATGCGAAGAAAAAGCGGAGAGATAGAAAAAAGCGCGTGCACATGTAATAATTAATTGATAATTGAATAAATGATTTTGAATAAATAAAATAGAATTATATAAACACAGAAATATAACAGTGGCGACGAGGAAAACTTTTAAAGTGTAAAAAAATAGCAAGATGGCAGAGCAACTTGCTGATATTCTGAAACAAATTCAGAATCAAAATCATCAAGACAATCTTGCAATGCAGAATCTTATCGCAAAATTGTTTAAAGAAGGAAAATCAGAAGTAGCGGAGCATTCATCGTCAACATCCAAGCCAACAGAACCAGAATTCATAATTGAAGCACTTGCATCAAACATCACAGAATTTTGTCACGATCCAGAAGATAACATTACATTTGACACTTGGTACATGCGGTACGAAGATCTGTTTCTAATCGATGCTGCAAAATTGGATGATGCCGCAAAAACACGATTGCTTTTACGTAAATTGAACACCATTGTTCATAATAAATACATCAATTATATTCTACCAAATCATAGTCGTGATTTTACTTTTAAAGACACAGTAGAAAAACTCAAGAAACTTTTTGGAAATCAGATTTCACTATTCAATACTAGATTCAATTGCTTACAGATAACAAAGCAGCCCTCACAAGATTTCGTTACATATGCGAGCATGGTTAATAAACAATGTGAATTATTCAAACTGAATGATTTAACTACAGATCAATTTAGGTGTCTAATATTCATTATGGGGTTAAAGTCACCATCAGAATTTGAATTACGCACAAAAATGTTAAATAAATTGGAAAATGAAAGCACGAAAGTCACGTTGGAGACCTTATCAACAGAATGCCAAAAGATACTAAATTTAAAAGTCGATACAATGCTCATAGAAAGCAATGCACAGGTAAATCGTTTACGTGTCAATAACCATAAAACTGAAAAACAAATCAAAAATAATGGCAAGTCAAAAGAATCTTCAAGTTTACCGAAAACACCTTGTTGGTTTTGTGGTGAATTTCATTACTCGCGGCACTGTCCATTCAAAAATCACAAATGCGACAGATGCAAACTTGTCGGGCATAAAGAAGGATATTGCAAATACCGAAAAACTCAAAATGAAAATTCAATTCAAAAAGCATCTTTACTACAAACAAAGTCAATATGATTAAACGCAAATACATATTAGTCAAAATTAATGGCACACCATTAAATTTGCAACTTGACACAGCATCAGATATAACAATAATTTCTGAAGACAATTTCAAAAAAATCAAAGCCGATAATGTTAGCGAATCAGAACATACAGCACGCAGCGCAACAGATGAGTTACCATTGTCAGCAAAATTTAAATGCAACGTAGAATTTCGAAATCAATAGCAAAGTTTAACTTGTTTTGTTACTCCTATACAAAATCTCAACGTAATGGGTTTAGATTGGATACAAGAATTAAACTTATGTAATATGTCAATCAATTCTATTTGTAATAGTATTTGTCAAAATCAGGATAGTATTCAATTGTGTTCAAATCCGAATAAAGATACTAACCTGAAACATTTTTTTTCAGATGTATTCGATGGCAAAATGGGGTTATGCACTAAAACAAAAGCAGTAATCACAACGAAACCAAACGTTCAGCCAGTATTTAGGCCAAAGGGTCCAGTTGCATATGCGGTACAACAACTAGTTGAAGATGAACTCAAAAGACTCCAAGAATTAAAGGTTATTTCACCAGTAAACTTCTCCGCATGGGCAGCACCTATAGTTGTTGTGAAAAAAACAAGCGTAAACGTACGCATATGTGCTGATTTCTCAACTGGTCTAAACAACTGCCTCGAATCACATCAATACCCATTACCATTACCAGAAGATATATTCTCAAAATTGGCAAATTCAAAAATATTTAGCCATATAGATTTATCGGATGCATTCTTACAAATCGAGGTTGATGACGCATCGAAACATCTACTAACAATAAATACACACATCGGGCTATTCCAGTACAACAGAATGGTTTTTGGAATAAAAACATTTCCAGCAATTTTTCAACAAATGTTAGCAGGACTAAATTGCACTGCATCATATATTGATGACATATTTGTTTCCGGTAAAACAGCATCTGAACATACAGACAATTTATATGCAGTTCTTACAAGGCACGTGATAATGGGTTTAAATTAAAATACGAAAAATGTAATTTCTTTAAAACTGAAATTAAGTATTTAGGGTACATCATTAATCAAGAAGGGTTAAAACCTGATCCAGAACGTATTGCCGCTATCAAGCAAATGCCAGAACCATCAAATATTACAGAATTACGTTCTTTTCTTGGCGCAATAAATTTTTACGGGAAATTTGTTCCGAAGATGCGTGACTTAAGAGGACCACTTGATAATTTACTTTTACTTAAATGTAAAATGGAAATGGGACGCGATACATCAGAAGTTTTTCCATCATCTTAAAGCTATAATGTCATCAAATTTATTATTATGCCATTATGATCCAAATCAGAAGCTAATTGTAGCTGCTGACGCATCAAACTATGGGTTAGGCGCATGCATCATGCATGAATATTCAGATGGATCCATTAAACATATTTCCCATGCTTCACGTTCTCTCACTCCGGCAGAACAAAAATATAGCCAGATAGAAAAAGAAGGACTTGCACTCATATTTGCAGTTACCAAATTTCATAAAATGTTGTATGGAAGAAGATTTATATTGCATACCGACCATAAGCCTTTACTGACTATTTTCGGTAGAAAAACAGGCATTGCTATACATCAAGCTAATCGTCTTCAAAGATGGGCAATTCAGCTTTTAGCATACGATTTTGAAATAAGATTCATTTCAAAAAACAGTTTCGGATACGCTGATGTATTATCTAGACTTATAAACAACAACGAAAATATTTCTGAAAATTACGTTGTAGCATCAATCAAATTAGAAAGAAGTGTAAATTCAATTATAGTTAACACTATAAATACTTTACCAGCAAAAGATCCAATTCTAAAACAAATAATATATTATATTACAAATGGTTGGCCTAACAAAACAATAAATAATAGAGAATTACAAGCATTTTTACACAGGAAAAATGAGTTATCATTAATAAATGAATGTGTTGTGTACGGTGAACGTATTGTTATCCCACAAGTCTACAAAAAACGTGTATTTAAACAATTACATCGTGGTCATCAAGGTATTGAGCGTACCAAGGCATTAGCACGGAGTTTTGTATATTGGCCAAACATTGATACTGATATAAAAACATTTATTCAAAATTGCAATCAATGTGCCAATGCAGCAAAGATGCCTACGAAAACATTACTTCATTCTTGGCCCACACCAAGCGAACAGTGGGAGCGGGTGCATATAGACTATACTGGACCGATAGAAGGATGGTATTTTTTGGTCATTGTCGACGCATATTCAAAGTGGCCGGAAATTGTTCAAACAAAAGCAATGTCATCACAAGCAACCGTGAATATTTTAAATGATATTTTTGCCCGATTTGGTCTGCCAAAAACAATCGTATCAGATAATGGAACACAGTTTCGTAGTGAACATTTTGAAAAATTCTTAAAACATAACGGCGTTGAACATCTATATTCCAGCCCTTACTATCCAATGTCGAATGGTCAAGCTGAAAGGTTTGTAGACACTTTCAAAAGATCTTTAAAAAAATTAGAAGGAGAGGGGACAATCACACAAAATTTATGCACATTTCTTCAGACATATCGTTCAACACCGAATGTAAACTCACCAGAGAAGCGATCTCCAGCAGAAGTCATGTTCGGAAGGAAAATGAGAATAAATTTAGATTTGCTGCAGCCAAAAAAGCTACACAATGCAAAGTTAAGTCCAAATAAATTCAAAATGGAAAAGCAATTTAACAAAAGGCACGGTGCCAAGGAAATAAAATACTTTCCATCAGATAAAATTTACGCCAACATTCCAAATGGAGTTAACCGTTTCAAATGGATGCCAGGGGAAGTCATTGAGAAAAAAGGAAAAGTAATGTACAATGTTATTCTGAACAATGGAAAATTAATTCGAATTCATTGTAATCAATTACGAAAGCGCTACCACGACCAAAATAATAACCACAGGTTTTGGGAAGCTGCACTAGATGTGTATGACTTACCGCAACAATCAGATCAGTTTAAAAAAGCACTCAACAATCAGACACTGCCTAATATTCTACCACTATCGATATCGCCAACCGAGTTACCCATAATGCCTACAACAATTTCAACACCTACATCACCTGTTCTTCGTAGGACAACACGTAATCGCAAAGCAGTCACTAGGTTTCAACCACAGTAAAACATTTCGAAAAGGGAAGGTGTTACGATATAAAATCAATTAGCGTAACGAGATGGCATCACTAAGGTGATCAGCTGTTTTGGAGCATGCGAAGAAAAAGCGGAGAGATAGAAAAAAGCGCGTGCACATGTAATAATTAATTGATAATTGAATAAATGATTTTGAATAAATAAAATAGAATTATATAAACACAGAAATATAACAGTTATAATAATAAATAATTCTAATTTTACCTACTTATTCTATTGGTCAAGTATCATGTGTTTCAATGACACACTTTTTAAATAGTAATACTACGGGCGATCATATTGCATCTGCATTGCATACAATATGATTGCGGAAAACACAGTTTACTTTCATGTGTTCTAAATGTGGAAATACAAATAGCCAAGCGCATATTGTAATGCGGCAGAATATTTGTCATAAAGAAATGACATAAAGGCGAGTCGAATTACTTAACTCGCTGAATATTTAAAAGTGGCTTTTTGGGTTTCCATGTCATAAATTACACATGGATTGAAACTTAAGTGTTTTGGGTAAATGTGTCATGCTGATTACCGCACACAGCACATTGTGTGTGGTCAAGGTTAATATGACACTACACTTGATAGACAAACATGTGCACTATTGTGAATGATATCAGGGTTTTAGAGCGTGCACCTTTAATCGAACTTATTTTGTTATTTTGTTTGTATTGTATTCGCTAAGAAACATTAAAATTGAATTCAAATTCTTTTTAAAATAAATAAAAATATATTTTATTAATACGAAATTATTATTTAATATTACATTACATTAGCAAACTAAAGTAATATATTAAAATTAAGCTTTAATATTCCAAAAATAAATATGATTACATATTTTTATATTAGTTTTAATATTTTTATAATTTGTATTTATATTTACATTATATGTATATTAAATTAAATTAAATTAGTAAAATCCATATTTTTTTAAGCATTAAAGCTTAAAGCATTGAAGCTTAAGAGACCGATATTTACATCTTTTGTCGGTATTTTCGATAGCCAAATTTAATTTTTCTTGTATTACAGTAAGTTTTTGGTCACAATACTCTTGCCTCCCTTCACTAAAATGTTTTCAATATTTTCTAGGCGCCTAAACTATTAAGCTCAATCGTAATTTTGTCCCACATTGGTCTGGAATGTGTCTGGATATTTCTCCATATTTGCAACAAGTTTTACTATCAGCTTTTTATTTATTTATTTTTATTTTTATTAATTTTTCCCTACAACAAAATTTATTAATTTTATTATTTCTTAATTTTATATAAATATATTATTCGTTAAAAAATATATCTAAGAAATTTGAAAAATGATTATTTGTATGTTGAAAATATTTGAATAAATATACATAAAAAAATAACAAAACAAAAAAATGCAACAATCATTATTCTCAATATACATATTACTCATTACACTTTAAACCAGATATATTAAAGGATATACTATATTATATTAAATCTAAATGAATTGTTACTATTAAATAAGCTATTAAATAAGTAATATTAAAATTATATTAAATTTATATATTAAATTGACTGTATAAAGCGTTTTAACAGCATTTATTTTATACGAGCGACAAACTTCTACTGCTCAAATGCAGTAGAGAAATTTATCTACCGCTGATAGAAAAACTTCTATCGGTTTCCAATTCATAATACCAAAATTTGATTTTGTCTATCAGCAGTAGAAATTTTTCTACCGTCTATCAGGGATCGACAACCGATAATAGGCACTAATATATCGCTTCCATGCCCATATACGATTCCTCACTAACTAAAGATAGCATTGCCTCGCTTGTATTAGTTTTCAACAAGGCGTCATTGATATTAGCAAGTAAAACCTCTTGTGTTTCATTATACTTTTCCCAATAGCTATCTAATAGTATCTTTCGGCCAGCAAAGTAGCCTTTAATTTGTTTAATTTTAGCTATTTTTTCGTATTTGCCGAAAACTTCTTTATGACGTTTTGAAGGTGGGTTAATTTTTGCATTTTTATGTGCGAGACAAATTATCAACTTGCGCGATTTCTGCAAAGCCGTATTAATAATATTGAAGTAAACAATTGCGCACAGCGGAGTCAGTAAAGTATGTACTGTTACAGCGCATAGTTTTAAAAGTATTACAGCAGCAAATCACGTGATTTCGAACTGCTGACGTGGCACACTATATCACTTAATTCACGATAGAGAGCGCAGTGCCCGTAAGTAGCAACAAATTTCGGCAATTGATTGCAAAAGCTGAAATTAATATTGCTCCCCGCAAGGGATGCAAAAATGTTCAAAATACTAAATAAAAAATAACAGGTCAAACATCTTAGTTCAATCATACAACCATTTTGTTTATATATTCGTTCTTACAAAATTAATTACTTCCACTTCCACACCTCCGATAACCGCGCGCAATCATAGATGTTACCCAACTAACTAACAGAATATACATGGTAGTTTTAACGTGTGATTGCCAGAGTATTATACTATTAACATTTTAGCAAACAAAATAAGACTTAATTTTAAACAGTCCCTGTATAACACAATCAAATTTAGACTAACTCGACCAGCAATCAAATTTCAAAATAGACTTATTACTATTATGCATAATAAAAAACACAAATTTAAGTAGATCAGAAGAGTATGATATTTATTAAAGAGATTACTCTCATTTTATTTCAGTACCTAACGACAAACATTTATATTGCATTATTTCATCATTATAGTATTATGGGACCCAGCAAGTGGTTCACCACACACCTTTTTTCGCCGGCGTCTGGTGGCACGTAACTGTTACTACGGCGCCGGCAAAATGCCAATTAAAAATATAACTTGCAGCTATCCTAATCGTGGAGGCGTAAGATGTCTTCCGTTAACTTGCTTTATTTCTAGAGACCTAGTAGTGGTTCTAGTTAAAGTTCCAACAATAGGAGGGGTAACAGACATAGTCATGGTCTCTACCTACTTTCCAGGTGAAGAAGAAACCGTTCCACCATAGGAAGTCCAATATATTATATAGTTATAGTTATACTATATAAGGTTAGCAAATATTGTGTCTTCACGATTACTTATAGTTCATAAAGGTAATAAGAATCTATATATGTTCAGCAGTCATTCTCAATAGGCAGTCAGTCAAGCTGCTTTACTGACTATCAATACCGATTCACTAAGTGTTAACTGTGACACAAGTAGAACTTTATGTCTCTACTTTTGGTAAACTTTAAAGGTGGATAGAAATGTACATTTCTATCACCACATTTCGTATCAAATCTTGTTTACAGGTAAATAGAAATCTGTATTTCTATTACTAATTCATGAGCTTTCCGTCGTGGATACGAAATTCACTTTTCATATCAAATTATACTAACAGGTAGATAGAAATTTACATCTTTGTCATCAATTCATAAACTTTCCACAGTTCCTATCAAATAAATTACATTAGGCCAAGACCATTCTGCAGTCATTCCTTCTTTAAACTCAAAATTAATGAATGGCTGGAAAATCATTCATTAGTCTGGAGTTCAGACTAAAGAACATTCGCCTTACCATACGGTTTCTCACTGGGCATTGTGGATTTAACAAGCATTTATCGAATCTAGGTATCATGAGGAACGATAACTGCTGACTTTGTCACGAAGAAGAAGAAAGAGAAGAACACATTCCATGTCAATGTGATAGTCTTGCTAGACTCAGACCTCGGTGCTTAACAACTACCTATCCACTTATAACGAAACAGGTAACATCTCTCCAAGGGACATAAAGGCATTTTTAACTGCTATGCGCCTATCGAACTAAAATAAGTATACCACAATACCATAATCCTCACGGATGCAGTGACTTGGTGACTAGTTTCCAGCTCCTACTTATATATAATCTAATCTAATCTAATCTAATCTAATCTAATCTAATCTAATCTAATCTAATCTAATCTAATCTAATCTAATCTAATCTAATCTAATCTAATCCAATCTAATCTAATCTAATCTAATCTAATCTAATCTAATCTAATCTAATCTAATCTAATCTAATCTAATCTAATCTAATCTAATCTAATCTAATCTAATCTAATCTAATCTAATCTAATCTAATCTAATCTAATCTAATCTAATCTAATCAAATCTAATCAAATCTAATCTAATCTAATCTAATCAAATCTAATCTAATCTAATCTAATCTAATCAAATCTAATCTAATCAAATCTAATCTAATCTAATCTAATCTAATCTAATCAAATCTAATCTAATCTAATCTAATCTAATCTAATCTAATCTAATCTAATCTAATCTAATCTAATCTAATCTAATCTAATCTAATCTAATCTAATCAAATCTAATCAAATCTAATCTAATCTAATCTAATCAAATCTAATCTAATCTAATCTAATCTAATCAAATCTAATCTAATCAAATCTAATCTAATCTAATCTAATCTAATCTAATCAAATCTAATCTAATCTAATCTAATCTAATCTAATCTAATCTAATCTAATCTAATCTAATCTAATCTAATCTAATCTAATCTAATCTAATATAATCTAATCTAATCTAATCTAATCTAATCTAATCTAATCTAATCTAATCTAATCTAATCTAATCTAATCTAATCTAATCTAATCTAATCTAATCTAATCTAATCTAATCTAATCTAATCTAATCTAATCTAATCTAATCTAATCTAATCTAATCTAATCTAATCTAATCTAATCTAATCTAATCTATACGTGTTGTGTCCAAATGATTGTTCATTCATAGTAATTGAATTATGTTGACCTACAATAAATATTATATACATATTTACCGTATCAAATACATACCTGATCGTTGAGTTTTTATCGTTTTTCTTATAATTTACTCTTGAAGCATGCCAGCAAAGACGAAAATTTTTAATAATTATATCTCATTTATTTAATAATATTCTATTACAGTTTGTACAAATTGATTATTTTTTTGGTTAAACATAGTAATGCCAACAGTAATGAATAAATATATAACTATTCGTAGCTAATGTGAGAAATATGTTATTAAAAAATCGAAGCCTGTATTGATCACCTTGATTTGGTATCAATAAACCACGAAGAAAAATATCGCTGATGAAGCGAGTATGGATTTTGTAACAGTTCACATTTTCAAATAAAGACTTGCTGGAAAATCTAATGAAAATATAATATAGCAAAATGATTGTGCATGGTATACAACTTCAAAATATAATAATTATTACCATACAAAATAATGATGAAGTATTTGTTTATATTCAAAAACAAAGAAATACATATATTGGCTACATGATAAAATGCTGATATACTGCACGAACAGCTAAATCAATAGTTAATGAATATACCATAGTTGTAGTTATAGATAGTTCATAATAAATAGTTAAATTATTTTTGAGTATTTAAATGCCATGTATAAAACTCACTACAACTTGTGAGAAGAGTCACTTATAATTAAGTTGATTTTAGTATAAATTAAATCAAAATAATTTGCCTATATAAATAAGATTTATATTATTTATATAATACAAGACATCTACGTAACTTACATAACTAATTAACAACATATATACCTATAGTAATTACTTCAATTACTTAAGTACGAAGTTTAATCTTTTCTAAAATCATAAGATAGAACAAATATAATAAATTAGTTGCATACTTTGACATCCTTTATAATAAAACACATTTATCATGAACCTTCTATTAAATTAAAGTTTATTTTTAATATAAAGTAGGGCATTCACATTTGGCACTAGTATTCGCTTGTTCTTTCACAGATTCTGCTGTTAATATCATTTCGGTACTACTTCGACCATTAAAATTAAATGCTGTTTCTGCATTGTGGGTAATTTGTGTCAAGATTTTTGAATTTTCAAAATGTTCTTGTTGTTTAATAGTAGTATTCATTTCGGATATTTCTGCAATCGAACTTTGATCATGTACACTTCCATTGTCTGAAAACTTACGTTCAATAACACTTGAAGCATCTTGTACGTCTGTCCCCGTAACGTTATATTGTGATTGTGATGGCATTTTATCGCATTTATATGTACTACCTCCAATGACACCTGCGGCGCTATGAGTATGAGCAGCGCCAGATCGCCGGTACACAGTACTATTCATAGTTAGCTTTCGAATATTTTTATCAGGATGAAACACTAAAATATAAACCTTCGGTGAGTACAGACAGATCAGTGCAACTGATGCACTTAAGCTGATAGATATGCACAATGTTGTGATTTGAATCTAACAGAGTAAGAAAAAAATAAATATCAGTAAAATAAAAAAATCATGATTTGTTAATATTATTATTATTAATTTGATGTGTATCTTTTGGTTAAAAAGAATGCTAAAGCGGTTTTAAATAAACGAATCATCTAAAAATACCACTTCAAGAAATAATTTTTTAACTCCTGATAATATGTACTTGTGTAATAGAACATTAAAATATCTTTTAAAAAAGGTATTGATGAGCCAATATGTTTGCAACCACTAAGAAGACATGAGGAAATAAAAAGAAAATAAGTGAGTCTAGTCAAATTAAGATTTACCTTGGAATAAAAGATATTCAAAAACAAATGTGTTCTTGTTTTCATATTCTATTAGTAGACTTAAAAGTTGTAAATAATCTGGTATAAGGTATTCAGGGTGGAAGAATACGATAGCCATTTCTTTTTAAACATGTTCACGGTTGACAAATTATTTATGCAGCATAAAATCCCGAATTAACATGATTAAAATAGGGCTTATATACATTTAACTATTCTTAAGATAGGACGTGAAGAGCGGAAGTACTTATCTGTATGCATGATAACGTAAGATTAACTGCGAAATACAATGCACAGTACCATTTATAAAGATTGTTGTTTACTAATGCAAGTAAAAGGTTAAAGTGCTGGATTAATTCAATCAAGAATTCAATAATTAATTCCGCCCTAAACTTAACTAATTTAAAATAGCAATTATAAAATTAAAGTTGTTTATTTTAAAATGTCGATTACAAATTCTAGAAACTGATTTCAAGTAATTGTGTCACTTTCAGTTACAAATGGAACAACAAAATCCAGACGACAATGCCAGAACTGACTTCAAAGAGCTATTTACTGTTTCAAAAGCTAAGATAATTAATTTGTTTAAATAAACTTGATGTTATTATACATTTGAAAACAGTCTTATGATACAACATCCAATTTCAGTGTAGACCACACTTTTCATTTATAGTGTTTAAAGTTATAAAAATTTGACGGAAAATATGTCAGTTAGGAGCGATTTTCGCTTAATTAGTGCTAATTCGACTTTTCTACGTAAATTAATTAATACAGTTACAGCATTAAGATCTTTATTACTTTTATTGGGTTGAGATATGTATAATTTATATAGTTCTAAGTTAAGTGAATGTGGATACAAAATTGACTGACTTTGAATGATTATTATAAGATGTTAATACCTCAGAAAATATATTACGAAATTATTTGAATAACAGTCCAAGAAGGTCATTACAAGCACATATCACGGTAAAATCTGGTTGTGAATTTTGCAATGCAGTTGATAAATTCTTAAGAAAGTGCCCTCTGTTTGTAGTACCGTCAGTTGTTTAGCGTTTAAACTTTGTTAAGAATGCAGGCTGCTGCATAAATTTTTTGACCAAAAGGCATTCAGTTACAAAATGTAAATCTGAATCACATTTCAGAATTTGTCGCTCATCACATCATACACACTTGCATAAATGTTCTGTAACGACACCCTCATGCCGTTTACTTGAGGGTGTTAAGCCGTGGTATGAAAATACTTCACTCCAAGCAATATTTTTAGTTCCCGAAATACAGCAGTCTCAAACTGCCGACCCAAATCTGTGGTAATAGCCTGCGGAGAACCAAAACTTGACACCGAACGATAAAAGCCGCTGCAACTTCCTCTACCGTAATGCCTTCCAGAGGCACAGCAACAGACCACAGAGAAAAACGATCCACTCAAGTCAAACAATAACGCTTCCCTACAATGTCAACATGAACATATTGTGACTGACTATCAACATCAGCAAATGAACCAATTGGTGTTTTAGTATGCCGTTGGATCTTAGACTTCTGACACGCGACGAAACTATGCACAAACATTCCCATCCCTCACCAACCCAGGCCAAGCATAGCTAGCTTTCACCAACTTCCGCGTTGCTCTAATACCAGGATGATCCAAAGCGTGGAGTTTTGTAAGAACCAGCTGCCGATAGTTTGCGGGGATCAAAGGCCGAACACGACTGTGTGACACATCGCAGTACAATTCAATACCCGAATTCAATAACCTTGACTTCTTTAACTCAACGCTATCCTCAGACTGGCTATGCAGCTGAGCGAGCAACTCTGCATCAGTCTTCTGCCTTTCAGCAGAAGATGCCTTCTCACAAATTTGCCTAAACGCCAACGTTAATGGTTTGTGATCTGTAAAAATGACGAAATCACGTCCCTCCCATGCGGTTAACTTGATGGATAGCTGTTAACTTACGATCATAAGCTGTACTTATTCTGTGCTAGACTCCAACCTTTTGAATAAAATATCAACGGCTGAGTCACTCCTTTCACCACTTGTTGCAGAACAGCACCCACTGCAACGTCTGAAGCATCAGTCGTGAGCGTCAATGGTGTATCCAGGGCCATAAAGTTAAGCAAAGTAGCTTGGGCAAGATTATTTTTGTAAGCCTCAAAAACTGCCATATCTTCAGGAGTCCAACAAATCACCGACTTATCATTCTTACGATTACCTGGCGTAAGATGAAACAACCGCTGTTGATTCTGCACAGCGTTACGCAAAAACGGCCGATAAAAGTTCACCATGCCTAAGAATTGTATAAGCTGTTTAACTGTCGATGGCAGAGGAAAATCACAAACAGCTTGAACTTTACTCTTCGAAGGACGTAAACCCTTCGCACTAATAACGTGCCCAAGGAACATTTGGCAAAATTCACTGTCTAACCTGTCTCTCTAAGTCGATCCAAAACCAACCGTAAATGCACTCTATGTTTTGTTTCATCTTTTGACGCAATTAGAATATCGTCGATGTACGCAAAAACGAAATTAAGATCACCCAGAGTCTCATTCATAAAACGCTGAAAAGTCTGGGCCGCATTATGGAGACTGAAAGTCATAAATCGAAACTCAAACAGGCCAAATGGAGTTGTAATAGCTGTCTTCGGGACGTTTTCTGGTGCGAGCGGTATCTGATAATACGCTTTCAGCAAGTCTATCTTCGAAAACACAGTTTTACCATGAAGAATGCACGTCACACGGGATCACGTTGCACGTTGAGCATGCAATAATCGCCGCACGGTCTCCAACTTCCATCACTTTTGCGAACCATGTGAATTGGGTTTGCCCAACAGCTTTTCGAAGGTTGACAAATCCCTGTCTGAACTAAAAATTGGAATTCCTTCTTGGCTTCTTCTTCGAATCAACTAACTCCCGCTGCTCGCTCTCATTGTAGCTTTCTATGATTCGAACCTTCAAATTGGCGTACTTTCCAGTTGCAGGAGGATGAAGCACCACATCACTCATATCGGCCACGACACTTGACTCAATCGCTGCCACTACCGTGTTGAACTGTGTGACGTCATTCGAGATGGCAGCTACAGTAAATGCTCCTCGATCTGAGCAAACCAAATTCAGGTCGCTCATGCCAAAATAGCGGCACCTTCACTGCAACGCAGTTTACTTTACTCCCACAGCCAGCTTTTTCACTATCAGAAGCCATCACTACACCTTCGTCTGCGACTGAGGTCATGATTCGGGAATTTAATATTTCACTCGGGAGTTTATACTTCTTCTATAATGTGAACTTTTTCAGATCACGTCGGGGTCACCAATTTAGCAAAGGCCTCTACACCTTGCTAATGAATAGAAACACTAATAATTAACAATGATAATAAAACTTTATTCAACTTTTCTTAAGAGTAAAATCAGAACCGTTTTCATCAATTAAATTAAAAAACTAAAAATATTTGAAATTGAATTTTACTTTTTAATTTTAGTAAACCCATAGCCTACTGGCGTCGCCACACAGCAACAACTTTAAAAGATTGTGAAGTAAATAATCATTATCTAAGTAGAGCAATCAGAATATAGTACAAATAGAATATTCCAAGAGACTGCTAAATTTAAACTAATCTACGGGTAGTATACTTCATGGCAAACATAACTCATTTTAGTCAACAATAATTGCAGATCTGTTAACAACTGAATACATGACTACTTTATTTACTACATTGATAGCAATTTCAACAAACACAAGATTTTAAAGAAATGTATACTAATATATTTACTTAGGCCTGGCACCCCATCGCTTTCAAATATCTTACCTAACAATGTCTCAATTCGAAATTTACTTGCCGTATTATTTTATGAGGTCAACAAACAGATGTACTATACATACAAACAAATCATATAATACCACCAAAAGAGCGTTAGTTACACTCTTTTTATTTTTTTTCGAAATAGAACTGCACCGCTCTTTTTAAAATGATTTGAATTATGACCTTCATGATCGCTACTGCTAAAATCCATTTCAGTAAGAGAAGCAAGTATGCATAATGAGAGTTTTATCCTTACGGTAGAAACACATTGCTTTTTTACGGGCTTTTACACCTATGAATTCTGAAGAAAATGTGAACCTTGTGCGTGACGCTTAAATGCAAACTTGGCCTTAACAACAGGAAGCAGTCAGTGTATAGATCTTAATTGCACAGTTTTAAAAATTGATTCTATGCTTTTCTAATAGTAATAATAAACGTTAATCGATTTAGTAGCCCGACAGATGTTGTCAATCACAGAGTATTTAATGTGAATATCATATATAATTTTTTTTTTAAAGGTATGAAAAAACCACCACGCATTATTTTTGGTGCAATTACTTTTAATTTTTTTAAATCAATACTTGTCGGTTAATTTTATACTTGGCGTTTTCTTTTGTAAGTATGTCACAAAAAAACTAATAAAATAAGTATTACTTTCGATTGCAACTCTGGATAAAATGGAGATTTTGTTCGGCTTATATGGGCAATAAATGCGTAATAAAATTTAAAGTTGAAATTTCGAAATGGAATAATAATTTATTGCAATTATTGATGAGAATATTTTTTTACATGATTATATATATATAAATATATATGCAACATATATTATCTTAAACTTAAGATATCCGTTGGTATCGATGTGATGTTGCACCGTTGTTTTCGTTGTATCCGTTGGAAAGTGGTAAAC